CTTCACTACTTTGCTTTAATTTGATTAGCTTGCTATATTTTATTGTAACTGTTTGTTGTATTTAGTTTGATTTTGATTCGTCCTAACTGGGACGATTTATATATAAAACAGAGAAATCGAAGTACTGAGCGTGTTTCACGTGACATGTTTAAGTGAAGAAGCGCATCATTCGCTACTTGGGCTTCCGTTGGTCATGCACTCCTGGACAAATTAAGTGGCAGAGGAAAACCTTCACGGGTTTCTAAAATACATCTGCTCACCAATAGAGCAGCCTCCATATCTACTTGGGCGTACAAAATGAGCTTTTTTCACACCGTCCTCCTGTAGTCGAGATAATATCTAAAAAAATCAAATGGGAAACAGTAGCATGTGCTCTATACGTACATGGTGAACAGCCTCCATGGCCTTGTTGGTAAGGGAATTCTACCAGAATATTTCAACAAACACTGCTCGCCTTCAAGACAAAATCGACGGTATTATAACTAGCATTATTAGCATCAGATATTAAAGAATGCAACCACTGTAAGCGACTCAGACGGTAAGTGGTGAATAAGAAAGGTAAGTAATCATACTGAGTCAAAAAACTGTGGAGAGCCGCGTACAGTAGAGGAGAGTCAAACAGCGTATTGTAAACCTTAATCCACTGCGACCATTTTCAAAAGAAGAGCAATTTTGCAAAGCTCGCTCGACCACTGACGTACTTTTTGCCACACAGCCGGGCAATGCCATATTCAGTTGCCATATAATGCATATGAGCACAAGTAGTTACCAAACCAGCTCAAAAAGGAAGTTGCAGAGCGTCAGAGTTTCTGATCTATCATCACTTATTTGCCTAATTGGTCGTGAATTAAATACCCCTTTGATCCTTATAAAAATATCTTCGAATTCCTCAGACTTCAAGGATTACGAGTTACCGTATCTGAAAATCTAGTTACTTCATCACCTTAATCAGGACTGCAATTCTAGGTCTCAAAAACCTTCCGCTGTAAAGATTTACATTTAACGCCTTCTTGTATGTATGCTCATTATCGTTCCTTAGTTCTTACCTGCCACAATTGGCGTATTTGTGGTCCCCATGCAAAACCCAGACGCTGATTGCTCGACGGATCTGTTAAACTGAAAATGATATATCATACCTGTAAGCAACTGCGACCGCTTAACTTTGTTCTACTTACTATTACAGAAAGGTTTGCCGCTTCAATTTCCTCACGGTTGACCGCATTAACTACTTGAATATTCTTAGTGTAGCACTCCACTTTAGTCACCTACAACAACTTCGTTTTCCCTCTTACTACTTCATCTGCAATTATAACTGCGTGATTCCCACTGTTCTGAAGTTGTTTTGGCCTTAAACGGGCGACTGACAGATTAATCTGCAATGATAATGATGAGCTTAGTTGTTTAAACAAGGCTTCGTTTAGATATGAATTTTCAGTCCAGCATAGTAAGTCATTTTCGTCGCTGTCCATCTTCTCGGCTGAGAATCATCGCGTCTTTGCACATCAGCAAAACTTTTTTAAGCTGCAGTTCAACCTCGTAGAATGCTGAATGAGACTGTTGTTGCGTTGCATTGTGCCACTATCGCCCTTGAATTTTACTTCTTAGTTCTTCACGATGTCCTGGTGACACATTATCAAATAGAATAAGCGAAGTGGTCCTTGACGCTTAAAACACCTAGTATTCGTCTTTCTGCACGCTTCCACTTTATGGTTTGAAAGAAGGCTTCGTAAATAGAGGTTTTTTTCTGTCTTGTAATTAATTTACTTCTTTGCTTTATGCGGGAAGCTGCATAAATGACATTTGAATGGCTTCTAGTACTTGCTTTCAACCCAAACCTTTCAACCAATTTGTTCGTTCTGCCTTCACCTTCAATAACGCTGAAGACTCTCCTAATTCTAGACGACTTTTATGGCCCTTTCTGTGCGTGCTTGTACTGTCTCTTGGGTTTTTTTCATTAGCTGACTTTCTCGATACACGCACGCAGTATCACCGGTTGGGCATCAACTGCATTTACGTCACTGCGTCGTCAAAGATGGTAGCCTTTGTTGCTAATAGTAGAACATCGTATGCGATCGAAAAGTGCTGCCCAAATGTCTTCAAAGGATATTTTGCACTTGGAAAAAGCAAGTTGGCGCTTTAGCAGTCCGATGATAACAACAAGGTGCTAAAAGAAACAGATATCTAACACTCGTTTATTTTCACAGCTGTTGTGACTAAATGTTACAAGTGAGAAACTTTAGATGTGACGCAATCACGAAGGAACAGAGAAACAAAAGTTAAGGCCGTTTTTTTGAGTGTTCAGAAGTGTTATATGGTTCTTTTGTTGCGTTTGGTTTGCTAGAAAATTCAGTCAGGAGATGGCATCGTATGTAGCCTTTCAAAAGCTGCCTTCTCTAGTTCTTCCCGTTTAGACGGATGTGCAATTTTTATGAGTTCATAAGCTCGCTGGCGCATATTTTTGCCCCATAACTGCGCAACACCGTTCTCAGTAACCAAATAGTGCACATGAGCACGCGAAGTTACAACACCAGCTCCCTGAATTGTTACTTTATAGGTTCACGATTACTATCGACCAAACCGTTTATTCTCATCTGTGGTGTAGTCATTAAATTAGTTACCTCGTTGATAAAAGGAACTATCTTGGAGACACCCTTTTTGGTGATAGAACTTAGAGCTATTATCGGCTTTCCTCGACCATCATCACCAATTGCTGCACCACGTATAAAGTCAACTTGTCCACCAAAACCAGAGAGGAATCTGGGCCCAATAGAATCAGCAACTACTAAAATTAAATAACTTGCTTCTCCCATCTAATAAGATATTTCACCTTCAATTCAAAAACGCTTTTAAAGTTAAGCAGTTGCCTTGTCCAGTCAAATCTACTTCTACTGCTGAGTTTATTGCTGTCATTTTCGGCATTGTTCTAATAATAGTTGGGTCATTAACCCACTGGCAGTCACCGAAGTAAATGCTAGGGTTGTCATCGAGGTATTTATAAAGTCGCGTTGAGCCGTATACGAAAGACACCACCAGCTGTAATTTCTGAATGCACTCGAAATCTAGTTAGAGCGAAAACTGTTCAGCTGCTAACAAAATGTTTAACGAACTTTGCCTGGATGAAACAGTTTTTTAGCGTTTGTTATGGCATTGCATTCGACTAGATCAAGTACGCCATCGGAAAACATCTCTGTATGTATTCCAAGATCTTTGTGATGAGTCATGGCAGCCAGAGCTGCGTCAGGAATGGCTCCGATGCCTAAAAAATGACAATTACAGTATTCACATTCAGAAATACATCCTGTATTTTCAACTTCTTACTCTACCCATTTGAAGTGTAGCACCGTCTTCCACTAAGTTGTTTGCGATTATTTCACCAATTTTCTTTTCTTCCGCACTAGCTGCGCCGCTAACAGGTCTTTCGTGGAGCAACTGATCATCACATTCGACCATGACATCAATATGGGATTCATGGATTAACGAATCTCCAAAGGTACGTGGCATATTTTTGTTTGACATAGCTAAACAGCACATATACACCCCATGGTATAAAATAATTAAAGGCACGAAGTATCTCTTAACAGTTTTACCGATAATGTAGTCGGCTTGCGTGACAGCTGCTCGAGTGGTGTCGATACTAGTGCCTAAGGTACAATACCCATTAGAATCGGGAGGTGATACCTAAAATGACATTTTTTTTAAAACTCATTGATCTACTTTCTAGTAATTTATGCTATAAGTATAATGAGGTTTCTTAAGTGTTACATGGATCAAGGCGACGTTTAGCTTGATGGCGCCGGAGCGAAAGAGCTGTGGGATTTCTTGAAGAAACACAGAGTTGAAATCAGCAGTGCCTAAAAGCGTATATGGTATCAGTTTTTCTTATCATCTGTATGTGAACCCATTAATTTTATGGAAAAAGGTTCACGGCTGTGTAAAGTACTGGCAATAAGGAAAATTTTTCACCGTCGTTAACTGCTTTACGAAGGTTGGCTCCTGTGAACAGAGAGTTGGATCGGATACGATCTGAAGATTTAAAATCACTACTGCTGCTGCTGATTCAAATTTCAATTTATTGGGGTCAGTGCTCTACCTTGCGCAACATTTATTGCAAGTAGCATTGAAGAACCAATATAAAAATTAACGGAGCTCTTTTTGTCTGATGGCTCTACATTCGTTTTCATCCAGAAAGCTGATGAATACTAGTCGTAATAAATGTGGCTGTTCGATTACAACCAAAAAAAAGATGTGCCTCCATCAAAAAAAAAACAGAACCAGATTAAAAATTTGCCCTTCTTAAAATTACCCTTGTAATCTGGTTTAGTCCATGGTACGGCTCCCTCAAGGTGGAGGTGGTGAAGTGTGATCCGATTTAAATTGTTTGCTTTAACATACTCACATAAACCTTCTAGTAATGGTGTTGGAGTAGCAGCGATACCGTGTACAAAAATATGATCTCCTGTAAAATTAATTTTTTTTCACTTTTTTGAGAGCTGTGGTAACTAAAAAGCTGCAATAAGCAATATCGTAAGCACTATGTTTACCTGACTTTACGTCATTAAAAGCATTTTTCAAATCGACATATCGAGTTTTTTTGCCAGCAATTGGATATGAACATTCCTGACTTCCAACTTCTGGTGGCAGTAGTCTCATTAATGGGAAAGTGGTGGAAAAATATCGTGTTGGAGGACCTGCGAGTCGCGACAACATTTTCGAGAGCTTTTTCTTCACTAGAAATTGTCACGATAATAAATGTCTAGACATTGATATAAGAATCATTGACAGTTTAGATGAATTCAAATTGGTAGTGACCAAAAACCACTGCCTAGTTTTATTATTTCATTTTGAATACAGAAATTAGAAATGATGCTTTTGGCCAAGCCATTTGCTTTTGATATAATAATCGTTACTGAAAATCTATATGCGATTTGAATAGCAGCCTAACAGGAAAGAATGAACGCTTACTGAAGAATTGAAAAAAAATTTATAAAATTAATTGAGGAAAACAAACCAGTACTTTTATAATGACTTATTTTAGGCACATTTTTTGTGTAAAAAATGGCAACAAAGACTAAGTTGATGAATGGAAAATAACAATGTTGTTTTGTAAAGAAGACCTGAGAATTCCATCAATAACAATGAAAGCTGTATCACCAAACAGAAGTAAAAGCATCGTAGTATCGAAAAAAAAAAAAATAGTGACCAGCGACCAATGAAACAGAATGAATCAATTTAAACTTAACACTGCAGCTTAACGTAGACATGAAGCGTCGTAATGACGCCACAACTCGTAAAAGTTTCGCTGAGTTATTCTGCTGAATGCAACCTCCTTATTTTAGGTAAACTTTAACTGTAAAATTTACCTTAGGTCATAAGCGCTTATGGGGATTTGCATACTATATAAATCATTTACACTCACTGAGAGCAGCTGCAAGTGGCTGCCGTTATGATAGTTCTCTTCAGGTCTTTGAGGGTGTAAACGGCAGGTTTGGTTTTTGTCTCATTTCCTTTGTTATTGAAACTAAAGAAACGTTTTATTGCTGCTTTTCAGGAGACTAACAATTTTTAAAAAGATTTTGTTATGAAAATTTGTGCTACTAATAGCAAAAATCTCAAAAGTATCAAGGTGAATTTTTTTCTACAGCATGTGTCTGCATAAAATTTTTATTTAATCTGTTATTAGGAGCAAATAAGTTATTTTGGTTTAAGAATTATATTACATAAAAAAGTAATAGCTGTAGTTTTTTTAATATGAATGCTGAAAGTTGAAAAACTTTTTTGCAGCCGGTAAGAAATCTTTCTTTTTTCTTATTTATTATGTGTCAATGAAGAGGTAACTGTTAAGAGAATGTTTGAGCGTTAAACTGCAGAAAGAAAAGAAAAGCGAATTGAGGGATTAAATAATCATTTATAGTTGGCATCAATCAATGAAATAAGGAATTTGTGAGACGTCTGAATACCTGGAAAGAATTAGTGGAATTTACTCGCTACAACAATTCCGAGAACGTCGCGAAACTGAGGTCTTAAAAGTGTGGAACGCTTTAAAATCACACAGAATACATGTTATGTATATTTCCAAATTTATTCTTTTTATTGTTATACAGTGTTAAGCAAAGATTACTGTTATTAAATAAATTGTTACTTCCACCATGCGGTAACGAGCAGGAATTTCACACAAAAGCTTTTTTTCCTCATATTACAGGAGTTCGCTTATCTTGAAGGCGAAACTTGAGCAGATGGAATAATCAACCTCAAATCAAGAATTCCTTGTTGGCGATTTCTTCGTTTGTCGTGCTATTTTCTCTGCTTGCTTTATACTAAAGATTTTCTGTGAAAAATTGTCACTTCCCTTCTGATAACCAAAAAATTGAAGAGAAGTTTTACGACATTTAAGGGGCATTTGAAACTTAGCATTAATAAGTAGAGTTTAACGAAGTATTAATTAGTTTAATGCATTTGCAAGATCTGAAAAACTTAATTAGAAATATTTTGAAAGTATTTTCGCCGATATCGTAATAGTACCGTTGAAACATTCAATAGCTTTCCGAGCAGAGTCTTTTGAACAAAATTTTTTAGTACGTTACAAAACCCATCAAAGATTCACTGCTCTTACTGTTTATTATTGATAATTGTGTGCAACTCCATTAGTGAAAATGTAATTTCAAAAAGACGGTGGTTCTTCGTCTCTCAGATTTGCACCCAGCGTTTTGGTACCTAAAAGGTGCTCAAATTATAATTAAAAATTAATGTTTGGTCTTTCATAAACTTTTTATTACTTGTTGGGAGTATTTTAAAATTCACTGCTTGTCAAAAAACTTGTTAGTTTAAAACTCTTGCAGGTTCTTCAAACTACTCACTCTGTTCAATTTATGTTAGTTGGAATACTGTTCAATAAATTAAAGCTACTAATAAAGTTTTAAGAGGAAATAAACAATAAAAGAACCACTGTCTTGAGAGGGAAAACACTTGATTTGTTTGTATTTTGGAAGAGTAAAGAACATATAAAAATGAAAAATTTTTTGTACTTTCACTATTCGTTTCAGCGTTTCAAAGTCTTTGTCTTCTGGTTTTTGGAGAACGGCAGACTGAATGGTAATCAGCAATGACGACAACAAAATATCAGTTGGAATAAAAAAATAATGTTAGTCTGCTGTAGATGAGTCTGATTTTTTGGGTTTGATTTTTCTTCTTGTAGTCATCGCTGTTGGTAAAAAATTTTTTTTAATTGTTCTTTTTTCTAAATATTAGTCTTCTCATCGCTGTTACTTTTCAACCACGATTAATCTTGTAGATTTTTCTAATTTAGTAAACAGTGTTCGCATAGATGCATGTTGTTCTCATTAGAGGAGAACGCTACATTGTTTACTTTTGTGGGAAAGAGGCCAATGGTGGGAAGTGGACAAAAATAATAAAGATAGTTGCTCTTTCCTCTCTCCTTTTTTTTTGTTGTTGTTGTTTTTTTTTTGCTGAAAAAAGTTTAATTTTGGGGTACTTAAGGCAATTAGAATCAACGTCCTTTGTTACTGTCGTTGTTGTTAATGGTGGTTTTGGCTACGCAGATGATTGGAAGCAAAAAAGTTTGTGATGACGACACAATCGAGAAGTGCAGACGACTGCCGCTTTTGCTTACAACGGGTTTTCGCCGGCAGCATTGGTGACAACGGTGGCAATCACAATCACACTTACGAAGACGAGTAAACCGATCAGGCGGAATTAGCAAGAAGTGGACAAAAACCTTGTTGCAATTTATTGTTAATGCTGGTAGCGATAGTTTCATGATCAGCGA